CAAAACCCATTTAGAACAATATACATGTAATTGTATCAACTTTTGCCATGATTTTGATCTGATTCACCAGTTTCTTTAGATGCAACGAACTATCACATCTGAATCGTTTTGATCTTGTCTTCGCTACACATGTCAAGATCTTTGTTGAAAATAACAAAACTGACAAAAGCAAAGACTGCGCTTGGATTCTCTTTATAGTCGACCCGGAGATGCTCTGGCCGTGTAACTATTTTGGAACTTTACTTGGCTAAGTGCACCTTCAGCAAAAACTCAGTTGAACATATACTTTTTGTTCTTTCATTCGTGTAAAAAGGGTGTTAAGCTTTCAAAGACAAAAAATACACCTATTCCGTACACCAGGTACAGAGAAATGTTTTTATATGCTGTGTGTGTAGTTCTTAATCAGCACGTAACGGAGGGGCAACTCAGGCAACAACAGGTGATCAAGAAGCATGGTGGTTGAATGTCTGATACGACCAAGGTTCATAAACCCAAGACGTTTTATCAGACAAAAAGTTAAAGGCTCAAAAGCACTATAGGTCTGTAAGATATAAGAGAGGCACGGTGCTCGTGAAAATTAACTTCAGCAACTCCTTTTTTATTGCTGTAATTTCTGTCGGTAACAACTTTTATGTTGTAAAAGAGAATGAGTCATCATGAGATTATTGGGAAATCATCGCTTGTTCGGTTCAACTGTGTCAATTAGAACGAAAAAATCCACGATATTGAGTATCACTGCGCTGCCCAGACGTGGCATGGAGAAAGAACGTTACCGTATATAAATACAGATGTGGAAAAGGTTGGCTCCAACGGCGCAGCGACGCGCACCGACTTCTCATGCCAATTTTAACATAATATGACAATCTGATGTTGAGATTAGATAATTTTTACCTACGGTGTTTCAAGCTGCAGATGCTGATTTTTTTCTGAATTTATAATTATAATCGTGAATGTACATTACGGACCTAATGGCCTGCACATTAATATTTACTGTAATGAAGTAGACTACACACTACATAAGAGAGTCTATAAGACAGTTTATACTGTATGGATAAAAAAACGACATCTGCTCAATCTTAATCAACTTTATTGCCTGTGTCAAGGGGTGATATTAAAGTTATTTATTTATAAACATAGTTTTTGATGTGGCCCTATTTTGTTGCCAATATGGATTATGGTACTTAGTAGTGATACAAGATTTTATTTCCCTTGGGCTGTCACACTTTAAGCATTGCTAATGCTATTCAACATTAAAATGACGGGCTGGACGCCAATTGAGTTGCTATTGGTTAGTGTGGCTGATGCTGCATTGGTTTGATTAACAGATATTTATGTAGATGTAGTACACAAAACATTTTGGATTTTTTGACTTTAGTTGTGGCAGTGCTGTAACTTTTCCTTCGTGTTTAAGGTGTGTTCATTACTGGGTTCCAAGCAGAGGGCAGCGGCCAGCCTCGATGACACACTGGTTTATCTCGATAAATCCTGACTATAAGCTACCAAAGGTCAATCCCTGAGGGTAGGTTAACACAAAGGGTGTGATAGCCTGACATAACCCAGGCAGTACCGGCCTGATTCCGGATGTACCAATTATTAAAACATTGCACTAAGTATTGTCAAGTGTCAGATGAGCTCTCAGACTACACAGCCTGTGTTTGGAGACAGATCCTAAAGTATTATGACAGAATTAGAAACATTTATTAAAATATGCTGTGATGTACTCATTTATGCATTAACCCTAAAAAAAGCCGGGGGATTTCCGACCTCTTCGACGTTATTTCGATATCGCCTTAAACTGGCCCCATTTCTTTATTTGTTTTGCTTAAATTGCTGGCAGTTAGGATTATAAATAATTTTGAAAAACCAGTCTACTGCACAAACCTGATTGCGTAATTATTTCATCATGACCATTCAGGTCCAAGGTTTCATCCCAATCAGGCATGCACTTCAGGGAATACCATACTTTAAAGAAATCATGCACCATGTAATTTAACTCCTCATTGGATGACGTCATCATTACATCAGGTAAATTACAAACTAAAGCCCAACCGAATCCGGAATACGGATTAGCAGTTTCAAATTATATGTGGGTGTGGCAACTTGCCGCCCCTGCCGCCATCCGCTGGATGCGCAAATGATGTCATGATAACCATCCACAGCAGGAGGAAAACAAACGTTGAGACCCGTGCTACTATACGTATTACACTTAATCACTTTAGCATGATTACTTTTGATCCTTGCTAGTATTCTTCATAATAACGGGCATTGACCGTACAAGTACTTACATCACTCTGGACTCCATGCTGCATCAGATTCAGGAGGGACGAGTGGATGTGCTTGGCGTCATCTTTCGCATGGGGCAAAACGAAACAAGATGGTGCAGGGTCTAGTGAGTATATGAGTGCATATGAAAGAGTAATAATAATTTGTTTGTATGTGCAATCTATTATAAATTAATAAATATTCAAAAGGGGGATACCAGGTAAACTGTTTGTTGTGACAAATGACGGGATTTAATGGGATTTTCTGAAGAAAAACAAATGTGAAAATGATTAAAAAAACACCCCCCTGTAAGTTTTCAATGGTCTGCTCACACTTCTTGCAGCTAAGGCCATTTGTGCGCATGCGTGCATAATTATGAATTAATTAGTGTAAAGGTCTATTATACACAACGCCAGTTTAGGAGGGAATGCACATTGCTTTGGTCATTCTGGCACAGCAGTTTATGCAATCTGGTTCAATTTGCCCACCACCACCCCAGCTCCTGCTTTGTCTTGCATGGTTCATTAAGAAATGACGTTTTCTAACAGGATTCAGAGACAGCCATCTCCTAATACATACATGAATTGTCATGTATCATTAGTATTATGGTTACTGTTAACAGTGCATATCATTGCTCATATGGATCTGTGTATTACATACTGTAAGGGGTCAGCAACTCCCAAGGTACCCATGGGGGTTGGATATGCTGTGAGTCCCATAGCAAACCATGGTTGTACCCCAGAATGATTGCTCCTGGGCCTGGGTGCCCACTGAGTTAATGATTGGCCTGATATTTCTGATGCAAGCTTTGTTCATTAGAAGAATAACTGTCAAGTTCTTAAATGCCATTCACATGTCCACATAAACCAGACAGTACTCCATGTTCACTAGTTAAAATCAGTCCACTTAAAAATGGCATGGTATGTGACCGGCTTTGGCAAAACTTGACGCTTATTAATGTTTTGCATTACACAGTTTGGTTCTGCATCATTGAAAATTCCATTCCAAATGTAATTTCAAGTCCTATATCTTTGTCAGATTTTATCCAGTCTTCCCCAGACACACATCAAGAGAGGGTTTGCTGTTTTACCTACATTACATTGATCCCAGTGTTGAATTTTCACCCCAAGTGTTGCGTTTTGCAAGCGCCAAACAAGGAAAATTCTGCCATGAGCTACGTAATTATACAGGTGATGGTAATCAGACCTTTACTAATTTGAAATTAAACACTGCAAGTGCCCTGAATCGATTTCACCGAACAAAATCGAAAATACACATTTTTTTTAAAAACGGGAATGAAAATTTTTATTTTATTTAAGCAGAGAAGAAAAACATAGAAATATGAATTTGTTATGACTATAATGCAGCTGAACACTTTTGTTTGGAGGCAACACGAGCGCACGGGGTGATTAACACAACATCTGCAGTCCCTTTCCTAAAATAGACCAGTTCACTAACAATCTTTATTTATGTGCGCATGCGCATCAATGGCCATTTGGGGGGTTAAACGCTTTAGTGGCCTAAAATCATTTTAATTATTACTTTTTTTCGGAGAATTTTCGGAGAACAAAATAAAAATTTGAAAAATTTCGGTCTTTCGAAGCGCACGAGGTAAAGATAATCCAGTAGGGTTCCGTTCTATGTGAACCGTAAAACATATTGTGCGATACGTTTGGATACTATCCACCATTCTGGGTCGACGATGCAAGTGGGGAATTAACGATCTGAAGGTAGCCCGTGCTCCAGCCTGCGTTCACTGAGCCAGCGATTGACCAGTACGAGTGGTGCATAGTACCCTGAACTATGAACTGAATACCAAGCAATGTTTGGGCACGGTCAGAAAGGCGCCCTGTTAATTTCTTTCGACCCCGTGCGCTTGGCAAAAAAGCAAAGACTGTTTTTATCTTGTGCAGCGTAAACTTCTTTTAGGCCGAAAAGTAATGGGTATAATGATTTTAGAGGGTTTTCCCGGAAACAAAAGTAGAAAAAACCAAGACGTGGCGAGAAAATGACATTGGAATATGTGCCCCTGTACATTGTCAATGGGTTACTCAAGCGTCTTGTCTCCACTTGCCATTTATGTGCATGCGCAAATAAATTTAATAGTGAACTAGATAGAGGCTTCCCTTATTTACAAATATTGATAGCCATTTTGTATGGACGGCCAGAGCTTGCAGAAGGTACAACCTAGGTTTGCCAATATTTTTGCCTCAGTATAATTACCTCCTGTACTGCTTCTTTTGTTTTGGAGTCTTTTTATATATTTATTATTACAAGTGTTCATTATTTAGTGTTTTGATTTTTCAATGAGATTTTTGTGAACGTTGTAAATTACTTAGTGTAGTTTTCTGTTCACAAGCCACCGTTGCTTTGCCATTAAACAGTGCTTGTAAGCGTGGAAAAAAAGCTTAACGAAAGGTCATAATGGAAAGGATTAGCCCAAACATCACGCTGTGATGACGGTAGGGATTTTGCTCGATCCCATCGCTATTGCACGACGCAGGGGGAGGTCAGTTTTTTCATGATGCAAGAGTCAATTTTGAGCCGTCATTGCATAACGTATGTGCACATATACCCAGCAAGAAATGANAGGGGTACCCCCCCAACATGTCCAATCCCTATAGACATTCCAGACTATTGTTATTACTTTACACATCCCCCAAGATGTCTGAAAGGAATTCCCCGGATTCCTGCGAGACAATGACCAACACAAGGCAGGGGGGGGTTCTCTCCGTCTCATACCTTGCTGCATACGTGTGCACATACATTTAGAAGGCAGCAAGTAACCCACAGTGCTTTACGTGTCAATGGCTACTGAGTTCTTGTTCACAAAGTTCCATTAGGTACATTGACGTCTGTTAACCCTTTCAAGTGTTTTGGCGACAGGGACGAGTGGACGTGATGAGAATAGGAAATTGTCAGATTAACAGCACCATCTGTTATTGCTAGACATAGTTGAACCCTGTTCTTCAGGGCACCGCTTGAAAAATGCGTGTTTACACAGACTTCTGCATTTATTTTCTCTCACAGGACCCTCGGTTGTAATGTTTTTTTTTGGAATCAGGATCCCGAAAGCGATTCTATGTATATAGGTTTCCAATCGAAACCTTATTCTACACACTTGCTGCTAGAACTCACCATCACCAAAAGGTTTGTTGATAGAAAGGAAATGAAACCGCAAATGTTTTTGTAAATACACAAACACATCAAGGCCACTGCAACGACAGATGAGCTGAGCTGATAGGGACTAATTCTACTGGTGTATGTCATTATTCCCACGAGGATTACTATGGGTAGAAAAGTCTGTCAAACTCCCCAGTTTTTCCGGGTTCAAATATAAACTTTCTATAAGCAAAGTGCACTCACATGACACATGCATGTAGTTCAGGTCATGCGTGGTTTTTTTATTTAGTTTGCTGATGGATTCAGGAAGGCAAGGTTGCCAAAGGCCAGCAATAAACCTGAGCTGTTCCATAATCCACGTATTTTAAACCTTATAAAGCTACACAGCCATCGAATGCTTGTATGTTTATTCTCAATTTTTACGGATCTATACCAATTAAACTGATTTATCAACGTTAGTTAAACGTGTAGCCATGGTGCCTAGGGATCATCTGCGCTTGTCAGTGGTCCTCCTTGTCGTCTTCATTTTGCACGAAGGTAAGATGGATTAAGAGTTATTCATAAAACCCCAGACAGTTTCCCTTTTAAACAACGTGCAACTTAACTGTGTATTAATCAATATCATGTGATAATGCCCACTGCGTAAATCACGTTCCAGCACCTGGGTACGAGCATTGACCTCCATTATAAAGGCTGCATAGGACACGGTGCCATCTTGTGCATGCACGCGTTTCATTGGAGAGGGTTTGAAAGTTTGAATTGCAGCTTTCACACCAAACTGGCGCGCGCACGTAACATATGCTGCGCACGGGGAGATAGTCTGGCTGAAGAATTTGTTGCTCCAATTTCTGTTTTCTTTTACGGAAAGCTGATGAAAATCTGTTCGGAGTTGCGAATGAAGCCATCATGTGCCATCATGCAATTCCTACTGTGGATGAACTTTTGCAAAGCACGAACGTCTCTAAGGCTTTCAGCAAGCTCGACCTCAAATGGGGTTAGGCCTACCATAAGTTAGAACTCGCCCCTGAGTCGCGAGGGATCACAACGTACAAAAGACTTCTGTTCGGAGTAAGTTCCTGACGGCATAATTATACATGACCCTGGCCCAAATACCCATGGCAGCAGAGTGCTCGCGTTTTGCGCTGATTGGAGGAGTTATAGGTCTTACGCTGAATGCCGAGAAGTGCCAATTCAACATGAGCTGGCTAGTATTCATGGGGATCCTGTCGTCGGAGAAGGGC